GGGGAAGTGGGGAGGAGGGAATGGCGCGCAGCCGTGGTAGGGGTAAGACGATCGCGAAGGGGACGAAGTTCGCGAGGTCTCCGCATGGAGCGTAGCGCCACGCGACGGCGCGTTGTCGTTGCGAGACGCGTGGTAGGGGAAACTTCGACAAGGAGATCGAGTAAACCGCAGTAGGGGCAAGCGGGAGATGATCGTGATAGTGTACGCGACTGGTGAAGTAGTGGGGGCAACGTGGAAGGAGGTGGAAGGGTCACCGGGTACGTAGCGGCGAGTAGCGGTACTCTTTCTATAGACGCGGAGTCGCATGCAAGCCGAGCAATGCCCGACTATTGACCTCGCTGCACGATCCATGCTGCTATCAGCGGGAGACTCGCTTTTCAAACTTTGACTCCCTTTGTCTGAATAAACTATGTACCCGACGTTTAATCAGCTCGATCGTTATCATTCAGACGATTCTTAGCGAAAGATCCTTAACGTTAGATGACGATTGAGAGTAACTTATCAGAAGCGCGAATATGATTCTACGTATATGGGGAGTACGAAGAGAATGTTCGAGAATCTTGTTTGTTATTTTTGGTCGAGACCGATTCCCGAAGGAGATACGGACGTTTATAGATCAGGCGGCAGTGGATGTGTCCGTGGCGGACTGCCGATGCTCCCGGGTCGTTGACCGCGGGTAGGTCTGGCCGTTGTCGGTCGAATCTACTCGCGAACAGTTTCGCGGCGGGAAAAAGAGGTCATCGGGCTGAATCGGGTCCTGATGTTTCGAAAAGAAAGCAAGCTCATAAGCGAGAGGGGCCTCGGGGGGAGTATATAATTGCAACTGCTTTCTCAAACGGCGAACTGGCCACTTTCGCCCATTGCGACACTCGCGCTGTGTCGCGGGGAGCGGCGTTACGCAAACGGTCAACGACCCGCCACTCTAGATTTTAGAAACTACTTTTTTTGGGACAAACGTGCGTGTTACGCGATCACGAGTTCGTTTATCGAGAAAAGATATCTGGTGCTTCTGGTACGGTGATACGTTTCGTTTCTCGATTAAGTTTATCTTTTCGCAAGTTTACTACGATGGCGTTGTTAAAGTTAACTATTCCACGATATGACGAAACTTCTGGAGCAATTATTCGCTACAGATAAGGAAATTGCGGGGAACATCGTAGATATAGAAAAATATACTCACCATCACGACTCATCCCGACAGCGATACACTTTTTGAGACGGCAATACTGGCAGCGGTTCCTGTTGATACGCAGGATGCTGCACTGTTGATTCTTCGTGCAGGGTCTGTACTGGATCTTCTGCTGAATGCTGCGCCGGAAGAATCCCTGTGAATCACCAACGAAACCCTCGTCAGTTTGGCCGTCACTGTCCGAGGAGGACCCCGACGAGCAATTGGTCCCCGTACGCGGGGTGGCCACGTCACATTCGCACAAGCACCCCATTAATTCACCCAGACAGATTTGTATTCTCTATTTCACACGTTTCTTCCCTCAAGAATGATCGCGTGTCTTTCAGCACGCGCACTGATCTCTCTTTCTCCTCCTCCTATATTATTATTCACAGTATGTATCAACGTGGTTAGCAACTGTGGAACGATCCAAGAGAACTCGCGAGCGAAGCGGACAAGTCCAAGAAACTTTGCTGTATCTCGCGTGTCACAGTCCTGTTCGAACGATTCACTGAAACGTCGTCGGTGAAACGACGTGAAAAACGATGCACGCGTCTCGAACCACCAAACTCACCAGCGAATCAAGCGTAACTGCTCGCCTGTATGATATCATGCGAGACTCGGAACGCGAGTTTTCGGCGGGGGAAAAAGAAGCGACCGTTTGTATCGAAGCTTGGCTGTGGACTGGCTCTTTCTAGCACAGAGAGCATAGAGCCTCGGCACATTGCCTCTGGCTCGCCGAGGTGGGGGACACTCTGACCCAATTCCCGGACGTTCACCCGCAGTTCACCGCGTGAAAGTGAGAGTCCCCCTTGCGCGCACTCTACCTCGCCTCGTCGCTCTCTCTCTTTCTCACTCGTATTTCCACTCCCTCTTTCTCCTTCTCGCTCTTTCTCCCGATCTGTACGTCTCTGTCCCGTTTTGTCTCTGTTCCCTGTCCCGTTCGCGCGTGCTGGCAAACCCTCGATATATATCGTGCTCCTTGTCGGTCGAATGCGACCATAGAGGCTCGCGCGCGCTTCGAACGCTCTACTAACGGGTTCCTTCCCTCCTCCTCCTTTTCCTCCTCCTCCTCCTCCTCCTCCTCCACCACCATACCGTCACCTCGCTGCGTTCTGCAAGGAACCACCCTCTCGAAAACTGTTCCTACCCTCCCGTGTATCCCTGATACTCTTCTCGAGAGAAGAATGTCGACGAATAAACGCGGGAACCCCTCTTTTTTTGATATACACACACACGGTCAACCCTAACTAAGCGCCCTTTTTCGGGGGTTCGTTCGCTTTTTCGACCGGCCTACGATGATTTCTTTGCACCGGAAAGGGTGAATAACCCCAGCTTCATCGATCCATCTCTGCTCCGTTTGTTTGAACTTAAAACCAACATAGAACCTCCATAAACTGTATCTTTTTATTTCGACGAGTCTTGCCGAGTGAACGTAAACAAACGATAATAAAACGAACGTATAATACGAAGAATAAAATGGTACGATACGATGGATGAGAAAGAAGCGGTCGGAGATTGTTCAGTTGGGTCGGTTTTTCATGCAGCAGCCGCTAATTGAGAATGAGAAAAGAGGTAGGTCAGGGCGGAGGAAGTTCCCGGCCGCGTATCGGTCAACGACCTCGCGGGGCAGTTACGTAACGAACGACGCGTGGAACGTCGTCGTCGTCGTCGGCGGCGTCGACGGCGTCGTCGTGTGTCGTCGTCGTATCTTCGGGCCTTCGCTGTACTGTCAGAGGCGCAGGCGCGCGGGCTCGTGTGCATTGCACGTATGCGTACGGAATTGGCGACACACTGTTGGTCGTCAAGTGACTCTCTCGTGACGTCAGACACGCGACCTCGCCTACCTCAACTTCGTGCACGGACCAAAGAGAGAGAGACAACGAGAGAACGATGTACCGTTGCACCTCCGCGCCCGGCCTGTCAATCGGTGCACGCGTTCGATGCAAGTCAATGAACTGTCAGCGTTGCCAATGTTAAGCTTCCCTGCCGTCGATCGACGACGCTGTCCCGGCCAGCTTTCCGTTTGAAATCCTCTCTCTGCCTTCGACAACCCGGGCCAATGAACCCTGCCTCGCGTTTGTTTTCTACGAAACGCGGCTCCGCGCTTTACCAGGTCACGAATTCGTTGCCTCGGGATTACACGACGATTAAATGTCTACTTGCATAGGTATTAATAGAATCGGTTTGTCATGGAGCTTTTTTAGTTTAGGGGACACGTACATGGTGACAGATATGAATAGAATTGGTTTTGTATCAGGCTTTTTTTGATTTAGAACAGTAAAGGTCGATGAAGATGTTTTTGGTTTGGGGATAAGAGGAATTTTCTGTAAGTTAGGTTAAGGGAGATTAGATAAAGTAATGAGCATGATAGTGTATCGTAGTTTTGTTACGATTTATCGAGGATTTTTTCTGACGAATTAAAAACCGATTAATATCCAAGCGATGAGATATTTTGATCTAGTTTGGTATTCTTTATCCCCAAGTTCTAATTTAAATTGGCGCATACGATAATTGAAAGAGTCTATACTAAACCTACTACGAAGATCTTCTTCAAACATTCAAGTGTCACAATCAACGTAGAAATCGACGATCGTTAGAAAAAAAAGTAAAAGACCAATTAATATAAAAAATGTTTACCGACATAAACGACTCTGTTTGGTAATTTTTTTTACAAATTGGAGACTGATCGAAGGAAATTTCACAGGAGTTTAGGAGATTAGGAAGGGACGACCGGAAGCTGTTATCGGGCGCGAGCTGGTATCGCGGATGCCCGGACGAGGCCAGCAACCCCTGCTGAACCCCTTTGCTTGGCGGGAATCCGGCAGAGGTGGAACCAGCATTGAGGGGTGGGATTGTGGGAGAATGCGGTGCATCGATCTCTCAAACTCTGTGCATTCCCCCTGACGGGTCAGAGGGCGACTACCTTTGCGTGTCGTGCTCCGACTTACGTGAGTTGGCGCACGCGCCACCATTGTGTCACAGCCACGGAAAATGCAAACAGATCGCCACGTCGCGTCGTGATCTTATCCTGCAATCGACGAAAACTTAATCCTGCGGAATATCTAGAGTAGATACAACGTTGCTCTAAATCTAGTCCATTTTAGCAGCAAATTTGTTTCAATATTCGTTCGAGCTCGTTAAGATTTACGAAAAGAAAGGATTTGCACAAATAAAATCGCGTTGCATTGTGTTGTAACGTAAACCCGCTATATTTTTACATATTCGGTACATATATCGAAATTACAGCATGTAGAAAATTAGTAAATGTTACTTTGACGGTTGATTACAAAGAAAAATCGGAGAAATTTTTCGAAAAGTACGAACAAACTTTCATCCCTCGATTAAGACCCTACATACAACTCTCTGACACAGATTTACACTTTCCAAATCTAGCAATAGTAGCTAACCCCTACGCCAGCAGAATTCCAAAAAGTGGCCCGCCCTAATCGCCGAAACTTTCGCTCGAGAAAGTTTCTCGTTGCTCAACGGATCCCGGCATCTCCAGAAATCCCACTTCCACGATTACTCTACTCTCCGAAAAAAAAGTGCATCCACCCTGCCGAAAGAATTCGCACGCGAGGCGTTAACCCTGTCGAAAGACCTCGAGTGTCCCGCGTCACGTTCACCGGTTGTGTTCGCTTTTATTTTCCGCGAAAGGAGCGAGTTCGCGGCTCGGCTGGCTGGCCGACGTGCATATGCATCGGTGCACGCGTGCATACATCGAGATGCGAGCCTATACAGATGTAGGTAAGGAGAGTGTGGGATATACACACGACGTGGT